AAGAGTTCCTGCCATTTTGCGGGAATTCTGGAGAGCGGTGGTTGCGATATCTAAAATTTTCAAGGAGGCGAAACTTTCCGTATTTGAGAGCGCTTACCTTCCCACCCTCACCTATGGCCACAGACTACGAGTAATGGCCAAAAGGATCAACTTGCGGATGCGAGAACTTGCCGGTCTCGGAGCCGCGCATTCAGATCGAGAGATAAAAGCCCAGTTGGTTTTGACGCGTCCGTCGCATGCCCCAAAGGATATATATATATCTTTTATCGGAGGACATTTTAGTCCTCCGATATAAGATGGCCGGCAAAAGACCAGTCGGCAGACCTCGTGCATGGAGGACGGACTACATTACATAGTGAATTTTCGTCACGACGGGCTCGGTATACCGCCTGCAGAACTCGAGTCCGTTGCCCAGGATCGGAAGATTCTCTTGGGTCTGCTCGAGCGGCGAGCCCATTAAGTTCGGATGAGCGATTTTGAAAATGCATCAACGCCTAAGTGTTTATGTATGTTTAATGCACTGAAATGCTTTCTTATTTGGTACTCACGTTGTTCTGTGACTCGTCGACCTCTGGCCTGGACTCGTTTCCAGCCCGCCAAAGTGGCAGTCTCGATGAAATGCCTGACCGAGAAGCGGGGAAACCGTGATTTCCACCTTTCATTCCCCTCCATGCCACGTTCCATCAAATTCTTCTCTCGACGGACCGGGAAATCGCCACCCTGGGACGGTCTTTCGACAGCACGCGTTCCAAGTTATTCATGAAGGTCACCGCTGTCGCGTGTACAGGACTGCATCGATTGCATTCGGGAATCAATGAGAATGCACAGGCATACGATATTAGGACATTATCTAAGGTGGTCCAACCATGACTCGTATGATATCTACCATGTTGAGAAGTTTCTCTGTGACGAAGTTCTGTATGACGGATTGTTTGGTTTTACGAAGTCGGTTTTCGTCGAAGGAGGAAAACTGTTCCGCATTCCAAAGTTTAAGTCTGCTGCACATGTCAGAGCTACTTTCTTTCCAAGTCTCATCTCGATTCTAAATTTCCCCAATAAATAAATGGCTCACACACTTATCGGTGTGGCCGTTAGGGGGCGACATCAGTCTTAATCTTCTCAGGATCTTGAGGATGATCCCCAAGATCCTGAGAAGATTAAGACCGGTCGCACCGAGTCCAGAATTCTGCTCTGTCAGGCAATCAACATTCGGCCTTTGACTACCAAAGGCCGAATGTTGAGCCTGAAACTTTTCAATCATTGAGTGCTCTGCAGACCACAGAAAGAAGCGTCCAGGAAACCATTTGGTTTCCCGGACGCTTTGTCGCCGAGGAATACACAGCGTTCGTGACTCGTTCGATAGATGATATATTGCACCGACACAAGGACACGCTGTGCACACCCATTTATTTACATACACTCGCCTTGGAAGCCGTATTTGCAATAGGACGCGGTCAGACCTCCGAATTTTTTTCACGATTGAACGACTGCATCCTTTTTGCCAATAAATGACATTTTGTGGAAGAGGCCTTTTTTTCAACGAAATGCGGGGGATTCCCATCCACGAATTCTCCGCAAAACGAAATTTTGTAGCTGTCCCTTCGAGTTCGTCGAGCGTCGACGCATTTCACTCTAGCCTTGGAGAACTCCAGGACTTCGGGGTTTCATCACATCCACGATTGAAATCCGCTCATCGCTATTTACTTAGGCATGGGATATCAGGTAAGTTGGATTTCGTCGGATTCCCGTGGCGCTACTTCCCAGATCGAGGAGGTAGAAGCGAATCGGCCCCACACAACGCGCATCCAGTACATTGCACGCATTCGGATCGTTCCCCCGGCCACAGGCAACGAGCGCCGGGCTGCGCCGAATCCAGGCAGCCAGCCGCCTCTCGCCCGTCCCTGCCTCAAAAGACGGTGCACGGGTCCCGCGACCTTGAGACGGTTCGCTGCGTGGAGACGGTGCTGTTTCCGTTCTCGGCGCTTTTTTGTGAGACGACCGCTTTCCACTTCGATTCCGGGAATGGGGCGGACGAGGAGGATTAACATTTCCAGTGCGGATCGAAACGGATTTCTTCCACCTCATGCTGACCGTTCGCCTTCGTTCTCGTTTGCGCCTCACCGGCTACAATCTGTGAGGACTCAATGCACTTTGCCTTCCTCTTTGCGAAGGTGCTTCGCTCGAGTTTCCGGCAAAATCGCTTTCTTGTTTCGAGCAAAGTTTTCCGCTGAACCCGTGGCGCCAGAAAGACCAGCTCAGGATTTGGTCCCGAGCTGAGGAACTTAATAATCGAACGTGAGTCTTTCGGACTCCGGCCTTTCGACGTGAGCAAGGTCCTTGGAAGCGAAGAAAAAGGCTTTGATTCGTAGCGAAGAAGAAAGAAGAAAAATGACTCGTGTCCCTCCCGAAGGACCTTCCTGCACCAGAAAGGAATTCACATAGAGCTAATTGTCTCTAGTCCAATGAACCACAGATGATTCTCTCATAATAATAATGCGAGCTAATTCTGGCCGTCATCCACCCATTGCTTAATTCCTTTTTTCAAAGATGGCGCTGGACATTCGGCCCAAACCTCTTTCCAACTGAGGCAAGTGAAACCTGCTTTAGTCAAGTGCTTTCGAGATGGACAATCATGGCTACCAACCCCCCCCCCCCGAGCATCGCCCCAAAATTGACATTGCGCCGAAAAACTTTCAATTTCTTCAATATTAAAAAAAAAATACAAGGAGGCAAAAGCAACCACCTTCCTACCGTACTAAAGTACGCTACTAATTTTGATACACCAACTCCTACCCCCAATGAAACTTCAGGTGAGCAGACTGGAAACTCTTTGGAAAATATTTTCAGAACCCGGATAGTAGAGAGCTAAATACGAAAGACGACATCGTCCATGCAACAAGCTCCGAGAAACTCGTCCAACTGACAACACCCGAAGACTGAAAATTTACTGACTGAAAAAAATTTAAAGACTGAAAAAAATTTAAAGACTGAAAAGAAAAATTCGCGGCATCCCCCCCGAGACGACGAAAGGACGTCGCCGTAGTTTGGGACGCGAGCTGGAAGCTAACAGAAACTCGACCGGGAACTCACCGATCAATGGAACTGGGAAATTAAGGAATACATGCTTCTGGGTTCATCTTGACATTGTGTCTGCCTCAACGACTCCACGGACCCCTTTTTCCCGCGTTTAGAAGCTTAGTCCCCAGACATAATAGAGAGAGAAAACCCCTCAAATCGACACAGGACCTCCAAGCGGTGAGGGATTTTTACGACAGAAAATTGCAAAATATGTAGGGTAGAGGCACCAGTTTGTGGACGGGCGCCTATTTGTGGACAGTTTTTGCGTTTTTTGCCGCTTCACAAAATTTACGCCGAAAATTTCTTTCCTCAAATGCTCCATATTTTGCACAGGCCTGTCAGGCACCATAAAAATTATGCATATCCATCAGCATGAGTGAGCTTGGATATTTTGCTTAGTTTTAGACCTAGCACCCCTGAATTCCTCAATTTTTCAAATAATGTTTCTTAACAGGACATCATTGACGATGAATAAAACTGCTGTACCGATCACATGCCCATATTTTTCTATTCGGCCTACGCATGTTCATAATTGTTGACAAAAACTGGTGTCAGCAAACTAGGTCCGTGGGTGTCCACAAATTGAAACCAGGCCGTCCACAAATAAGAACCACGTGAAAATCAACACATATCCATTTAAACAGCTATTGTTGGAAAATTATATTTTTTATATTTTATTTTATAACATGGGCATCAAACTACGATATGTGGCCTCCCATTGAAACCAATCAAGCGGTTTCTCGGTTACCCCAACGACCGTAATTCAATTTTCAAGAGGAAAATTTCCTTAACCAGTCCACAACCTGGTGCCTTTCCCCTATCTAGAGACCTGACCCACCCTTTCCACATAGTCCCCTGCAACTACACTCCTCTGTGAATCCTCTGTGAATCCTCTGTGAATCCTCTGTGAATCTGTGAAGGACGAATTCCCTGGGTCGTTGGCGGCGAGTATGGACAAATTCTGTCTGCACATCATCTGCCGGTTGAAAATGGCTGATGGCCTCGTGCGACCCACTTCCTTACATATTCATGCAATTCCGCCGATCAATGTGAACCCTCCCTCCAGAATTTATTCATAAAGTACCCAGTTCCATCTGACGACCCCACATCTTCCAGTCGAAACTCAGACCAATAAAAACGATCCTTGACCGTATGACAACAGAGTGAACTCGTCACCCAATAGCAAAGAAACCGGAATTCGAAAGCGATCGCCTGTGATTCACCCCATTCATTATTTTTAAACGAAAATTGCACTGTCATGATCCGCATTTACCTCTTAACCTTCCATTGTTAACCTTCCATGTTAACCATTGATGATTCCCGAAGGATGAAAATTCCATTGGGAATGCATAGAGTCTTCGACGTACACTAAGTCATTTCCGATGTCACCAAACCGTTCGGTCAAAACCTGCAACTAACGACAGAACTATTACATCTGAAGCGACGTTTCAACAACCAATAAAATTACTTTCTTCCGCATAACGAAATCTCACATTCAGTGATTCCTTGGGTTGACTGCACTATAGTCATTTTGCAGGTAAGGTCACACCAGTGGTATTCAAAGGGAAATTCTTCAGTAATATTTTTGCCCAGGATTTCCTGCCGGGAATCCAAATATTGAAAGAGACGCGGAATTGGAAGCCCACTTTTCTCCTTACTTCCCAGAAGGGGTCGGTTGAAGTGGAGATGGACCTGATAAGTCAACTTGCCGTCCTGCCCTTTACTCCCGAACTCCTCTTCTCCTTCCAAAGCGTGAACGTTTGGAGCTTGCCAAAACAATCATCCAGAAACAGACTTTTCAGCCGCTGGCAGAAGCCGGATGATCCAAATCCAAAGCAGATCCTCCAGAACGGTATTCCAAATGTTATCTCTGTCGTAATCTTAGTTTTGCGGCTAAGTGACTTTGTATTTTTATACGGTGAATGTATATCCCGATAGTAACTGGAATCGTGCGTTCGGGGGAATTGTTGGCCATCATGGGAGCGAGTGGATCCGGAAAGACAACGTTGATGAACGCGATGACGATGAGGAACTTGGGAAAGCTCAAAGTCTCGGGGAGGTTCATGGTGAACGGGAAGACCGTCAAGAGGAGCGCGCTGACGGGCATGTCCGCCTACATCCAACAGGAAGATCTTTTCATCGGGACCCTCACGGTCAGGGAACACCTCCGATTCCAGGTAAGAAGCGTGAAGTTTCATGCGATATCACTTGGCATCCTTTACGTTTGAAGATTCTCTCTTCCCCTAGGCCCTATTGAGAATGGACAAGGAAATCAAATACCAACAGCGAATGGAACGGGTGGAACAGCTCATTCAAGAGGTGAGGATGATACATTTTATTTTACATATGCCTGTCACAAATTGAAAGGTTTCTTCAACTTCCTTATTTCAGTTGGGATTAAGTAAATGCTCAGAAACGATAATCGGTGTCCCCGGACGGATCAAGGGCATCTCGGGTGGGGAAATGAAACGACTCTCCATCGCCTCCGAGGTCCAAATTTCAACATATATTTACTCCTAATACATATTTAGAAATAAATATGTTTAATGCATTGAAATGCTTCCTTATTTGGTATTCATAGGTTCTAACGGACCCACCGTTGCTCTTCTGCGACGAGCCGACCTCAGGCCTGGACTCGTACATGGCCCAGCAAGTGGTGTCTCTCATGAAGTCCCTCGCCGAGAAGGGGAAGACCGTGGTTTCCACCATCCATCAACCTTCATCGGAAGTCTTCGTCATGTTCGATCAGATTCTTCTTCTCGCGGAGGGGAGGATCGCCTTCCTGGGACAGGCTCATCGTGCCATCTCCTTCTTTCGGCAGTATGTGGCGCTGAGTAATTCATGAGAGTAATCGTTGCGGCGGGGGGCGGCGGCGGGGGGGTCGCATCGATTGCACGTGAGAATCGATGGGGATCCACATGCATACAATCACAATCGAACAACTAGAATACACTAACCCTGACACAATTGCTGCCTTCTGCCGCTGTTATAAATGTTATAAATACGTCGCCGACTAACTTCGCATCGTAAATAGCGATCACTTCCTGGTTTTGCAATAACTCCGCCGAATTTTCAGAATTATGACGGCGATCAAAATCGACCGCACTTATCACTCATGATAACTCAAAATTTGGGGGAAAGTTGACAATTTTGTTGCGTGCATATCAGCCATTTTGTTAAAATTTTGGCCTATACTTTAGGAACTGCCAGACTTAGGAAACTAAAACTTTGGATTTTTTCTTCAAAATACCGAAGAGCATGACTTTTTCCCAGAAAATCCGTGACGGCCGAGCAACAATGTTCCTGGTTTCCGGCATTTCACATCGAATCACCCGTTAAAATGCCCCTCGGTGCATTGTATGCCATTATTAAAGACTTCAACGAATCCCCTCTCCCCCGATCGCGCTTTTTCATACATGCTCAAAAGAGGAATAAAATGGTCTTCATGTCTGACATGTCACACGACCGATCGAGCAGAAAAGTTTCTTGTCATCCTCTAATGGTAAAAGAACCATTGCCACGGACGTCATTCTGTACGATGCCCTTCACAGTACTAATCGAATGAATTCATACTCCCCCTCTCTCCAGTGCAGCGCAACTAGCTGTGCAACACGGGCGACATCTGTTTCTCGTCCTATGAATTTCTAAGATATGATGCCACATGCATTTGCACGCCACCATAAACCATAATACGGTTTGAAGAAGTGCCGCGAATTCAAGGTTCGATTGGGACGTCAGGAGGCGCATCCGCCAATTATGACGACCCGTGTTGAAGTCAACTTAATATCGTATGAGATCTCTTAAGAATAGATTTTATTACCTTTTTTTTAGGGGGGGGGGAAGCATAACTATCTACTGCATAGTCGCTTAAAGCTACGATGCGATTTTTTGTTTCGTCCGTGAAGGCATGAAGACTCTCCTTAAAGCTTGTCACGGGACGGGGTAAGTCACTACATCGTCACTTGGCGCATTCCACGCGTTCATTACGCGTTCACACTTAATGTGAAGCGATCCAGCGAGACAGAATGAGCTAGGCACCATGACCCTGGAACTATATAAGTTGAAGAGGACTGACCCCTGAGGAATTTTCAGGGCACCAAAGTAAAGACTTGCTGGGTGGTAGCTGGGTCATTTCGTAGAACAAAGTCCCGTAGTTCTCTCCCAACGACTGGTCGATCGACATTATTTATTTTTTATTTTTTATTTCCTATTCACCAAAATTTTTCTCATTCTGGCGGGAGTCATTATAACATTACACTCTTAGAAAATTCCGAGCGTTTGGGGAATAAAAAGTGAGCACACCGTGAGCTTTTCGAATTTACTCTCTTATTACTCACCAAATGCTCCCT